ATGAGAAGACACTTCCACTCAGGAAGTTAAATTAGTAAGGATTGAAATCAATCCATTCTTCATTGTATTTTCTAGATCAAAGATATTCAAGCGTAAAATTGTAAATACAGTGAGTGCACTCACTCATAAAGTAATATATATTCGAAAGTGGTTTCTTGTTACAACCATTCAAGATCCATCCAACTCTCTTTTATCACTCCATCCAACACGCAATCAAATTCATCAAAATCAAAGAACGAAAACGAACTGAAAAGCAAGTGGAGCAGAAAGAGACAACTCTCTATTAAGAAGTCTATCATTTTGTTTTGTTTTGAATAAATTGAATGCGTGCTAGCCAGCTTTTCATATTTTGATGTAGTAGTATTTGGAAATTTCCTTTTTCATTTCATGAGTATTTCGCAATCTCAATTGTTGAGTTCGTTTGCGAATTGAGAAAGAGGATAATATGTGCGTTTATAACCAAATGCGTATGTGTATTAGACTTATCTCAAAACTCAAACCAGCAATTCAGTTTATAGATTTTCTTTCAACTGCAAAATTGATGAGGCAAAAGGTGTAGGAAGACAGGGAATCGAACCCTGATCTTAGGAACCACAATCCCATGTTCTACCACTGAACTATCTCCCTTCTTGTCATTATCTTTCAATATTCACTAACAGCACATACTTCATTAAAGTCAATCAAAAATTTATCCTATCAAAATCCTTAATTTAAACCTTCTTATTCCTCATATAAGAAGGAACCTACAGTGAACTTTTTCGTGTTTACGAACAAACGAGAATCATCAGTGCACTCCACAAACTGCAACACATCAAAAAAAATGTCCAGCTCACCATCCAATATCAACAATACCACAACTCTCTCAACATCAGCACCACCAGCCACTACCACCACAACAGAAGTCGCTGCTGAGAGCATGGAACAATCCTCCCTTCGTTACTTGGGTTATTTGGGTCGTTTGAAGACTGCCATTGTTGCTGGAGCTCGTTATTTGGCCTACACTTCCGATGTTGGTATGTAACAAGTGATGATGTGTTATCTTTACTCATGAAACTCTATGATGATGATATATTTACCATTCATATTTGGATATGATACTAAATGCTACTATTTTCCCGACCTATTTTATTACTGTTTATTATTATACTTGGAATAATTTCATTATTTGATGATGAATATGAACAAATATTAAAATGATTATATTTATTAAAATAGGTGAGGCATTTAGACCAATTGTCCATCCATTGATTGTGAGAGCTGGTTATGGTATTTCATGGGCTTACGTTCTTGGTGATGTTGGTATTCAAACTTATAGAGAAAAGGAAAAGGGATCATCAACTAATACAGTTCTCAGAACTGCAACAAAGACTGCAATTTTCCAATCGACAGCTTCAATGATTTTGCCAATGATTACCATTCACCAAACTGTTCACGTGGTTTCTGCAATTTTGAAGAAGGTTGGATACAAATCAAAGGTTATTCCAACAATTTCAGGTTTGGCTGTTATTCCTGCATTGCCATTCATGTTCGATCACCCAGTTGAACATTTTGTTGATACTGTTTATGATAAGTATTGGCCTGTTGATGAAAAGGATTCACATGCTGAAAAGGAAAAGCAACATTAATGAAATTATTTATTGAACTCTTTAATTCTATTCGTCTAGTTCACCAATTGGCCAATCTTTTGGAGATCCTGTAATAAAAGGAGATGTAGAGGAGGCCGTATCATCAACAATTGCATGGAAATCATTCAAATTTAGACCAACCATATTTCTATTGGGTGTGACTGGATAATTTACATTCTTTGGAGGAGAAATAATTTGTGGAATTTCATCACTATTGGTCTTGACAAAGTCTAAATCTGATACTGAAATCATGACATCATCGGTGGTGAGAGT